GAACAAATCCAAAAGCTTCGAAGGAATGAACAAGAACTTTAAATATTATTTTTGGTCGGTATTTTGTGCTAAACACCAGACTAATTTGAATTTATGATTAATTATCACAAAGTGTTTTAATCATAAATTTAAAAGATTCACTAATGCGTATATTAGTTAGTAAAGCCAAATATGATAAAGAAGTTTTGCTTGGTAGGAAAACTTAATTAAGTAGTCCACTCTGATCAGCTTAAAAGTAGACTACGATAAGGTTCTCAAGATTAACGCACCCTTAATATCAAAAGCGAATAAGCAAGCCTTCTTGAACCCATTTCGACGATGTAACTTGTACAAAGTTGCCGACGAACACGAGGGCCGTCTAACAAAGTAAGACCTTACCTATGGAAAGAAAAGAGTACAAAAGGGAGAAACTTCGATTACAGATCTGAGGCGAGTTTGAAATAAAGGCACCGGGGCGGTACGGTAAAGTTTCTAGTGCGCTTTTAAAACTTCTTCTCGTCACGGTTAATTGATGAATAATATTTAGGTAACAGAAGTTTAACGCGAACTTTTAAGGAAAGGCTAAAGGAATATCGGGGAGTAAACGTAAATTATTCGATCAGCTTTAAAGTTGTTTTCGAACATCAGGTTGTTAGAAGTACGTGCTTATACGCGCCATCATCCGATAATCCAACGTAGAATATTCTAAATACACCATTCAATGAATATTTTCGTAAAAACATTTATACATTTTATACATTACCACCAAATGTTTGTTAATCAATAAAACCGACTCATGTTTAAAATTAAAACAATAATAAACCATAAAACTGAATAATTTATTATAAAAAACCGCACACAATTCAAATTAATAATAAATGTAATAAAATAATTAAATGAAATATCTTTATGGTTCAATTTTTTAAATTTATATGTGTATAAATAATTCAATAACATTTTCAATAATCCATAAAAATTTTACTGCTATTCAAAACTAAAATATGAAATAACATAACGTGTTAATAAAAAAAAATATTTCGTGCAATCTTCTTTAACCTATCATGGGCTTAACGAACCACCTGAATTGCTGGTCAAAATCAATTACCGAACTAGGTTAGTTACGGGAAAGTTAGGGAAGTTTTTAGCATGAACGAACATCGTGCATTATGGGATAGTAAACTTGCGCTCCCATCGGGTCGGCCGGGTTGCAAATGATTCACATATATCAACCGAGATACATCAAATTTGAATTCTGTCCCATGGCTAAATCTGATAATCACCGGTCACATGTCCATGAACCCGACAGATGATGTTCTGGTTGCGCTGTTAGGCATAAACGTACTACAAGCGGACATACTACGCGTATCAATTTCAATTTATGTGTTTAGATATTTAGTTTAGCGACGGGATCAGCTTGTGGTAAATATCCCAATTGCGGCTATAGAGCTTAATGTTTTACAAATCCCTTTAATTACAACGTGACATAATTTTAAAGGAGACCAAAATAATTTGGTTTATAATAGTCAAACCTCGATATAACCAGGACTAAGTCAAACTATTAATAAATGTATAATGTAAATATTAATAATATGTATAATTCTCATCGCATCCAAATAATAATAAAGAAATGTCATTTAAAAATAAACATTGAAGCACTCCCGAAACATAAACCCTCTGAACTGGGTCGGCGAGCTCGCACATCTAGCCCTAACAGACATTGAATTCCATAGACGGGCTATTTGATAAGAGGAAGAATGACAAAACTTTGCAGACCGATGAAATAGTATAGTCAAGGTAAATCTATGTCTTAAGGTCAAGTTGTGAACGTCTGTTCTAAACCTTATTTTATTTACAAGATAACGAGGTTTTCCTGAGTGAACAATCCTGTAAGTTAGACATAAATATTGCATAAGGAACCTTTGTCCCATACTCAACCATTCGCTACAACAAACCAGGTGAAATATGGTCCCTACGCCTAACTCCGTAAACAAAACGTAAGCAAGAATTCTGAACTACCTGCTCCCTCCGCTTGGATTCAGACGATAAACATGGACTATAGACTACACTACAATAATTGAATTTGATAAAACAAGACTGTCACACAGTAAACGTCTTAGCCCAATGAACAAAACTTTACGGCATGAATACAAACGTTTTAAAACACCATAAGTTAACACAGGCAGTATTGTTATAAGGCTCAGATCCTTATATGTTTTAACTGGAACTACTTTGGGAATGGGAGTAACATAGTCGTACTTCCAGGAGTTTGGGAATACTGAAAGAGTAAGACAAAAATTGTACAGATGGCCAAGTACATCAAGAATACGGGGACAACACAAACGTATTATATCTAAGCTGATGCCATCAGACCCAACACAATGCCCTGAATGTGATCAGTAGATACTTCATGAAATACCATTGTCGCTGAGTCAGAACGTATTCTGTTACCATTATAATACTCCAAAAAATTAACGCCGGGAGAAACCAAGGTATATTTCATACAGTTACTGAAAAATGTGTTAATATTATCGGGGTCTGACAAATGTGAAGGCATGCTAACACTGGAAGATTTCAAAACATTAAAGTTTTTAAGATTTTTCCACATATCTCTAGAATTAGCAATAACTAATTTTGTTTCAAAGAAGGCCTTTTTCTCGCGAAGAATGGCACCTGTAACGTAATTGCGCAGCGATTTGTAATACTAAAGAGTTCCCTGATTTCTGTTTCACTTATATTTAAAGTCAAATAAAGATATCAATACATCGGTAAAACAGTTGAGTTTAGTATAGGTTTAGCACTTGTAAGAATTAACAATTGCCAATAGACTAACAAATGATCTGAGACCATAATATCCTCAGTATCACAAATGAGAAGAGGCAACTCTTTAGATATAATAATAACGTCAATTAGGGTCCCAGAGCAATCAATAATTCGAGTCGTTTGGTCAACAAATTGCTGTAAATCAAATGCATCCATGATAGAAATCAAGGCATCAGCAGAAAATCCGGTTGCCAAAAAATTAACATTAATATCGCCCAAGATTATAACTCCATCGACAGTAACATAGATTTCTGATAAAGACTCCTCCAATACTTCCAAAGACAACCTCAAATCAAAAGATGGCGGCCTGTAGATAACCCCAATAGCAAAATCCAAGCTATTCACTGCAGACGTAACCCACAACTGCTCCACTCCGGGAACCTGTTCAATACTAACACGTTGACATTTATAGCGGCTCCGAGTATTAATATCCACACCACTCCTCCTGGAGAGTCTGTCAGCTCTAAAGAAATGAAAATTATCCAAATTAAGAGTCGAGTCATCAACATTTACACTGAACCATGTTTCGGACACTGCAAAGACATAGATTGAGTCACATTATCACATCTAAATGTCCTACACGAAAGCTACTCATAAAGTAATATAAAATCTAAGATCACAAAAGCTAAGACTAATAGACTAATTTAATACAACGACAAACCTAGCAACCAAGCCAGGAGGCAATAAATCAAAATTGGAGTGGTCAAAAAATGTTAAAAAACCAAAAATATAGATAAAGGTATAATAAACTAAAACAGAAATAAACCAATGAGAATTATATTACTATAATAATAATAAAAAAATAATATTTATCAAAAGAAGAATTAAGAAGTTGCTTACAAAAACTAAAATTTAATAATTTCGACGACAACGGTCTTTAACTCGCACTCTTCTATCCCTAGTCCATTACCAATTCCGTATTTTTCACGTGAGAGCATAACCAGTTTATAGGTTGAAGTAGTAAGATATTCCTTAATAGATATTTTTGAATCTTTAAGTTTGCTCCGGACCTTAATGACTGAATCACGAGATTTATAACTCACAAATTTAACAATAATAAGGCGTGGACGCTGACTATTCTTATTAAAAGCCCCTAAATTCGGCCGTAGTTGCCACTTGAAGATTATCATTAAATAATGATAAAACCTTCTTTTCCACATTTTTGTGATTCTCCTCTTTTAAACCAAAAATGTCGAGGTGAATACTGCTCAAGGTTAGCAATTTTTTCGTGAAGTAACTGATTTTCCTTATGTCGCTCATTGTTAACATTTTTAAGACCATCGAATATTTATCACTTTAGTAATAGACGGGTAAACTATTTTTCATTGAACTAAAACTAGAACTAACACTAGATCTAGAACTAGAAACATTCGAGTATAGCCATTCGTCTGAAGACACTAGTGTTAGTTCTAGTTTTAATTGTTAATCAGCGTTAGTTTGCCGTATATTTTTATTGAACTAAAACTAGAACTAGCACTAAACATAGAACTAGAAATACTCAAGCTTAGTCGTCTTAAGAGACACGCGGCTAAACCTGAATATTTCAAGTTCTAGGTCTAGTGTTAGTTCCACTTTTATTTGTTATTTAGTATTAGGTTGTTGTATATTTTTCATAGAACTAAAACTACAACTAACGTTAGAACGAAAAACATTCGAGTATAGCCGTCTTAAGAGACGCATGCCTAAACTCGATCAAGATCTTATTTTATATTATGAACCTTAAGTCTCAAACTAACAGCATTACGATACACGAATAGAATAAACTAAGCATTTTCTAATTCAAAGCGTGAAATAGTAGTTGCTTACTTATGCGTGACGTCACAAACGGGCCTTGGAAGTGTGCACCTATTCCCGGGATATAGCGGGCCTCTTAGATTCTACCGTGCTTGGTATAAATTTAAAACCAGGTAAACTAAACGCAACGGTGGCGGTGTCGATAGCTATTTGAATTTGTGTGCATTAAAATTATTCATGCAAAGTGCATATAATGTATGTACCTTTGGCTATAAAAGGGGTAGGTTTTACTGTATAAATGGTAAATAAATGAAATAGAATACTTAAATTTTAAAATTATGTAAATTAATTGAATTTATTTCCACATCATCATTCGATGTTAAAGTGATACACATTTTCGTCACGTTCGAAAATTTAGCGACGCCTTTTTTGTAATTCACTTACAATGTGTACGTTTGCTGTTGCAGATATGAGGCTGCTGGAATGTACTGTTCTATTCTTGCTGCTCTACCGCATCGTACCAATTTGCTCTTCGCATCTCTCCAGCTGTAGTTTCAACTCCATGTGCCTGTGTTCTTCGGATCAGCACAACTTGGACGCTCGCCTCATTACGGACGTTAGCTGCATAGCCGTGCCGTTTTTCAAATTACCAAGTGAGTTTTCCTTTTTTTATTTTTATATTTTCTAAAAAAAAAGTAATGATTTAGATGATATTCTTAAATTACGAATTATTAAGAACCTTAACAAAAAATAATGAAGGCACGTCAAGGAAACGTCGAAGAGAAATAAAGGATTTCGATATTGACACATCACGAAATCAAACGTGTTTCAGTACCCTAATGGGTCAATGTGATGACCCAACGTCGGCTCGCACGCAATCAAAATCCTAGAAATTCTCGTCGAGGTCATCAGTTACCGTCATCAATTTCACGAAAACAACAAATCATGGGGTGTTTTCACACGTTCACCCAAGTTATTGTCGACGTTGATCCCGAAATTTATCGGTTTCAATCATTCACATTCCAGCGCAAATCTACGTAATAAGATTAACATCGTCGCCACTTCAAAGATAAAGTTCAACTAAATTGATCTTAAAAATTCTAAGAAAAAATTGAAAAGATTAAAGAACCATCCTTTCAATTCATCATCGAATTAGAAGGGATGCATTAAGTACTGCCTCCGGTTTAAACAGCCTTCATCCCAACGTCGAGTTGGTAAATATTTGATAGAAGCACTTACAGACCGACCTTTCCAATCTATGCCCTGAATTATTAAAGTCCATAAGCAGCGAAGTAGTGATTAATTACTAGCATACTCGCAACTCTCGCATGAAACTTGAAATCTGCATTGTAACGAAATTAATTATTAAAGGATTTTACATGTCACTTAGCGCTCGCGCGCTTCCATTTTAATCGCTTTCCGGAAACAAGCCCGACCAAACTCTGTACGCGTCAACGGAAGAGATCACAATATTGTAAGTTAAAGCGGGACTTTGCTGGATATCCGATTCGTCGCCACCTACATCCAGCTACGTCATCTTCTAACCGGATATTCGAAAATCTCCAGACCGGAAACACTTCAATAAATATCCCATGTTACGGGCGACGAGAGCCGCCGGCGGTGTGCTACATAGAAAATCGATATGACGTGAACCTTACACGAAGTCATTAAGGAAACCGCAACGTCTTAGGGTTCAATATTTGATGGCCGCTTGCCATAAATGGAACAGGTGAGAAGTAACGATATTGAATCTACTCTTCTTTAATGGCTCTTTGTCATTCAAAGCCCACCATTTACGTCTAAATTGTATTCAACTATTCAGACGAAGTACTTATTATTCAGTTATTACTTATGAAACAACACCATTACATCGCTGTATTATTCCATAACAGGATGTATATATTATTCAAATTTTATATTTTTATACATTCTATAACTCTTCTTGTACCAATTAAAGTAAATTAAAAATAAGTGGCAAGAAGAATTTCCGCATTTTAACATTATTTAACCCATGCTTGACCATCCATAAAGTTTCAAAGAGAACGTCCCCGCAAAAAAACGCCTGGAAAGCTCTAACGCAATCCGCATTGGCTGGTGAAGTTCCAAAAGCACAGGGTAAGCCGTTGTAAATAGTTTATCTCCAGCTCCCTTTTACTGTAGTACTACAGTATGACCAACCTAACTCCGTCAAATGACTTGCGGTCACGTTTTGGAAATCTTTAGATTTGCTTCGTCTCTGACGAGAGTTCCTCCTAGGATATACGACCCGATGGCAGACCGCGAATACATTGATCCATTATTATTTAACAAGCAATAAAGATTAACGGTCAACCGGCCAGCCACCGGCATCGTCCGCGAGGGTCAAACACTGAGGCGGTATTTCCGGACGTAAACCTTCATTAAAATTCCAAATTTTCGAATTAAGAGCTTTGCTGGACCACGGTCGGCTCGGATCGGCGAGATTAGAGAGGGGCCATATTGCCAGAGTTTCGAATCGAGAGTTATGGCGCTGATCCCGCTTAATATTTTAATTGAGGGTAGCATAATTACTTTATAAACTTCAAATTGGATTCTGCGTTCAATGGGTATAACCCTATCTCTTATTCTTTTGCGTCCTAAATTTTTTCTTTAGTGTTAATATTTCAAATGCTTTAAATTTTTAATCCAATCCGTCTAAAGTATTGATACCATCACATTTCTCTTTTCAAGTATTATCTTTCAATACTCGTAATGCACCATGTAAAATTCGAGCAAATACCGTTTCCAATTTAAATTTATTCTCGTCTCGTCGAGTATAATCCACTTACCGCACCTACGTATGTACGTTCGTTTCCGCACCGGATCCATGGACCTCCATTCGCGTAGGCTCCGCAGTATCGTTGCTTTGAAAGAAAACAGAAGGGAATCCGCTCCCCCAAAACGACCACCCGCAACGACCGCATCAATGTATTATTCTAAACCGAGAGCATACGTACTCCGTCTGTTTGGAGTGCCCTCAACAGAAGGCCGCAATTCCAGCATATATCTTGGTCCTGGGAAAGCGCCAGAAGCTCAGCTTTCTGCTCAAGGTAGCCGTTGTTCTATGGCAGTTTCGCGACGAAGGAGGAATTTAACTTATGTATCTCTATCTAACTGAGGATTACGGTTAGTCTGTTCTCCGAGCATTCTCGGACTAAATTGTGCGAGCAGATGGCATGTGGTATGCTATAATTTTAGATATCTGATCTACTTACTAAAGGGGAAACTTTAGGGTGAATATTTCACGGCACGTTGACGTGTTTAATTCGTTTGAGTTTCGTATTAGATGCTTTACAACACGTTACGATTTTTAGTAATTACGAAATTAATATTTCAAAAGTAATTAAACGAAAATTATAATAACCTATATTGGCGGAAATAGACATAATAAAGCCTCATGGTGAGTAAACTTGGTTATTGCTGGTTAAACTGTGGAATTCGTCAAGATGTAATTTAACCTTTCGAGCAAGCGCCCACTTTGTAGCAAGCAATAGCTTATACTTCAACGCCACAAAATGAACAATTTGTCACAGTTTTTCGCCCTTTGTAAACCATGTGATTTTGATTCAAATAAGATTTTATACACTTTAAATAAATAGATCGGAACAGATAAGAAATTTGTATTTTCTTAATTTATTATTATTCTTAATTATTTACTTTAATTAGTATGAATGAAGTAAGAGACAGTGCATTAAATTTTTATAAAATGAAATAATGATTTACGTTGAGGTGACTATTTAATTAAACTTAATTAAATTCAATTTAAAGGGGTGATACAAGTGGTCGCCACATCCATGTTTAAATTGCAGGTATCTCTTGGCTTTTTTGTCGTCTCTTTTTTGTACTAGAGTGGAAAGGTTTCCTGCTTTTTTAATCGTGAAAGATCGTGAAAGAGCGAAACTAAAAAATAAGTTCTCATTCATTCAATCATTCATTAAATTTTACCGTTTGTGTACTGTAAATAAAGGATTTTTCACAATCCTTACTAAACAAAATTATGTTGATCCAAACATGTTTAACCAAATTCCACCCACTGAAGAAGATTTAACGAAACATCAGGCGATGGTTTTAATCCTTTTCCCGAAAGAATCAGGCAAATTGAACCAAAGGCAGCATCGAAGCACCCTTGAACAACATATTGCAGAGAAATATACTGAAAGAAAAAGTTCAGATTCATTGGATTGGGGACTGCTAACCAGGTTGCGGAGCTAATGCTTTGATAGTAGCGAGAGGGAGTTAGGAAAACCAATTTTTTTCAACAACAACGTAATTTTATTTATAAACAAAAATATAGAATAGAACTATCAACGCGTTTCAAAGAGCTCTTTTCGTGATGCGACTCAGGGATGAAATGCAAGTTGCGGTGTCAATGACCAACTCAAACTGACTTCTCCGGGGCGATCCTAGTTCTTTTATGCTTTGGTAAAACCTCGTAGGTTACGTGTTGTTTGCCTTTTGGTTAGGAAAAGAAGTTTCCGTTAAACCTCGAAAAGTCGACGTTTTTTATGGCTCTGTTGTTTGTCCTTCAATATCCCGAGAAAGTCTCTTTGTAAGGGTTACAATCATTCTTGGCTTTCTCGGATTGTAAAGGCTTTCCTCCTATTCATTTCTGTCGTCCAGATGTCCGCCACACAGGTATTCGGTTGCACAAAAGTTCTGGCCCAAGCAATCCTATTGCAGTATCAAGCCAATCAAGACACTCGCATTCTGTGCTGCCTTAAACTAACAAATCGACGAAATTTAGCTCTACTTAGGTTCTTCTCTAAAAAGATGAAAAACGCAGAAATGAATAACGGAGACTATTATTGTAAATTGTTTGTTATATACAAAGCAATCGTTTCTTTGGACAAAAGGTGGAGGTTTTAGGTTTTATGATACATGCTAGGTATAGATCCAATTCATTTACTTTCCAACAGAAACTGAGCAAGTATCACAACCACAGTTTCGTTATTTAGATAAAATTTGTTTTAAATTCTTGCCTTAATCAATTCGTAGAAAACACGAAATGAAATAATATAGTAGCTAAACCCATCACCAGCAGATCAACGTATCTGGACTAAATGAAAACTCTTACAAGCAACCATCATGTACGTTTCATTTAAATTGTCCAAAGCAACAAGAAACTGTAAACAGAATTTTTAATATGATGGAAAGTTATAGTACTGCAAGATCAGAACGCTACATGAGACTGCTTAATGCTGTCGAAACACTTCAAACATTCCAAAAACATCGTATCCCCTTTCTTTTTTTAAAGTATGACGATGTCGGTTAAGCAAGGATCACTTTAATCACAAATAAAACCAAAATTGGATATTAGGATTGTTAGAGAGCTGAAATTTGTAGTAACATATGCTAACACCGCAAAATATCTAAGCAAGACTTTGGACACAATGCTAAAATGGCAGAAACACGCGAAGAAAAAGCGCGAAGAACATGCCGAGTTCTTCGTACAGCATATGAAACTTGTGTTGGCTCCTGGGGCGATATTTCGAGATGTACACGTAAAATAGAAAGTGATTGTTGCTGAAGAAATTTCGTAACTCATTCAGGTACCTATAAAATGTCGTGTCTAAAAGATACCTATAAAACCCCAAAAAGATAAAAAATATAGTAGTATTCCACTGCGAGATGTAGT